TAGATAAGTGAGAAGATCGAGCAGCTGAATGAAGAACAACAGTATGCCTAAAGCAGACCCTTCATGTGCACACTGATCAGCGGGGTGATTCGTAAATGCTGGTGCTTTATAAACTGATGCTGTCACTTCTCCTACCCTACTTGGATTTTTCATGCTTATGTTAAAACAATACTAGTTTATCTTCCCCCATACTTGGGAAGTTCCCTTTAAATCAGTTCCTCTAAGTTTTTGCCTTCCCCTTTCATTTGGCACCGAGTGCCTGATGCACTGGTGGTTGTTATCTCTCCCCCGCAGCATTCAACCATTTTGCCTCGTTGGACGCAGAACATTGCAGCGTGGCTGCAGGCCAGCTCTGGTGTATTAAAGCCGCACAGATAAGCCGGCGGTGGTTAGTGTTGTTGTCTCACTTCAGCTTATTGTCTGCCTTTAATCTTGAGCTGATTAATCTGTCCAAGGAGGAGTGAAGGATCATGAGCGAGACAGGCAGAAAAACAGCCACGGATGGTGGGTGGGAGCTGAAATACTTGGAAGGAAGAGCAGATGCACCTTGTAAACCATGTGGAACTGTGTGTAATGACAGGAGAGCGAAACCAGGCACTTTGGCGAGGTAATTAAGAGTCTTAGTGATTGTGGCTGGAACAGTCGTGGCATGTGGGTATGCAGGTGCTCAAATCCCACGCCTTCCAAAGGGAGGCGAACGCTCAGTTTGTCTGAGAAAAAGATAAACAGACTATCCAGTAATTCTGGAATCTCATCAGTATTTTGCCAAGGGAAAAATTAGATGATTTGTTAAAACACAAAATCCTCTTTATTTTTTTTTTTAAAGCAGTTACTTTGCTGATGTAAACCATCTTGCTTGCTTCTAAGCCACAGACTTTTGCATTTTGGATTCTGCATCTCAGAAGGTTAAAATCTGTCTGCAGAATGTTTTCTGTTCATAGCTGAGAAACCACTGTAATCCTAACCTTGGCTTTGCCGTTTAACTTGCTGAGAGTGTATGTTAAATAAAGAGAAATATTAGGATTAGGTCTGAAATTCATTCTGATTCAGGGAGCCACTAAAAGGACCACAAGCTATTTAATGCCTCCTTTGAAGGTTTTAGTACTGATGAAGTGATAATTAAATGATCTTTTCCTTTTCTCTTTTTTTTTTTTTCTTCCTTTTGTTTCTGTTTTTGGAGCAAGCTTTGAGCTTAAATTGAGCTGGCAACTTCCTTTTCAGACCTCAGCATCTGACATCATTTGTACAGCAATAATCAACAACAGGAGGAAAACATCTGGGCTTGGAAGCACGAGGAGATCAAGGCTGTAGTGGTCTAGAGAATAAAGGGGTGACAACAGTCTGTGTCACAACAGTTTGTCTTGAGTGTGTCCTGCAGGCGTGAGGCCACTCCAGCGGCTGCAGGAATTGAACATTCCTGGATTCCAAGATTCTGAGATGGAGGAACAGAAGATGGGGCAGTAAGCTGTCGGGTTCTCTCGGGAGA